TTTACACCTCTTACCTTAAAATTGAACTAACTGCTACTATAATATCTTTCTCAGTATTCCACTACCATCTTTTCCCTTCTATGCTTTTCATTGAATAGTCCTAAAATGTACAAAATTCTGATAGGTACGTATTATTCACATTGAACCTGCAGTCAACAGTCATTGAGATCCAATCTTGTGCTTTTCACTGGTTTTTTTTTTTAAATACTGTGTAATTCTCAGGTACTGGTGAAGACTTAAACATATTTTCTATCTGATTCTAGAAATACTGATGGTACTTAAAAGTTTGAAGGCTTAGATATAAATAAGAAATGGATATTTTTGTAAGTTCAAATCCTGCGATTAACTTAAAACTATGTGCAAAGGTGAAGGTCAAAGTATGCATACCTTGTACAGAGTGCAATTCAACATGGTATTATGTATTTGATGTCAGAGTTATCAACAGTTATTTAACAGTTTAGCAACAGTTTGTATATTAAAGTTTTTCTTCATTACCCATTCAAGCCGTCTCGAACCATTATTAGTGTTACAATATGTTATACAGGGAAAGAGAGAACAACGCAATGAGTATAATAGCTCTTGTATAACAGTTCAGATGGTACTGCAGCTTCATTTATATTTAATTTTGTTTTGAGGTTATATTTTTGATATTTTTGTATGTTATTTATGATTTGCATAGCGTAAAAAAAGAACTTCAATAAACAAATTGGTTGACATACAGAGTACAGCAACAACAGAGAAAAATGTGAAGTGCTAACATAAATATATATATATATATGTATTTGTGATCTGTTGTGTAGCTCAAGCTACAAAACAATTTAATTAAGAGTAACACATTGTCTCCTATGTAATTTGCTCAAATTCTTTATTTTCTTTACTGTATTTATTTACTTTTTAATCTAAATTTTATAAAGTTTTTTTTTATATTAAAATAACAGTAACACCAACTGTGTTTTTTGTTTTTGCAATGCATCATCTTAATTAGGGTTCACAAGCTGGAATCGAGACCTTTAACCAAACCACGTTAACAAGTGCCGAAATTGCATTTGCTAAGAGTTCTGAAATGCCTCAAGTATCAGACACTTCAACACATTTTAACATGACTTTTGTTTTCGATTTTGCCACTTCATTTGAAGTTTTTTGACAGTGGAATTATTTTGGACTTATAAAATCACACTGTGCTTTTGTTTTTTATCCCTAATGGACATCATTGTCCTACTGTGTGCTAAGTGGTATAGTCTTATATGTCATTCTTGGAGGAATGTCATAAATAAATATCTTTTCTGAACCATAGAATTTCAATAGTTCAACGTTGAACTCTGTTACATATTGTATTACTTGTTGCACTGTTTACAATATTTTGTAATGAACTCATAAATACAAAGATGTTGAGTCGAGAAGATTGGATTTTGTGCAGGTTTAATTTGAGTAATGTTGGCTGAACTTGGCCATGTAAGTACCTCAGTGTTTCACTGGAAGATTTAAAAAAGATTCATCAAATGTTTAACACAAAAACCTATTTATTAAATCCTTGAGGAATAACATTTATTTACTTAAAATAAAATTTTAACGATCTAATTTTTAGGTGGTAAATAAGCTCAAAATCGCTTTGATTGGAAACTACAAACCTATAACAAATTGAACAAATGAAACGTTTCTTTTAGAAAATAAATATGTAACTTAATCTTATTAACTGAGTGTGTATGGGGTTAGTCCATTAGACCAACCCCATATTGAAGAAAGAATGTTGATTATAATTCTGAATATTCTATGTGAAACATGGCAAGCTTTTAGTCAAATGTAGATACCTACACAACAGATGTGTTAGAAATATATTTGTACACAAGATATGTCTGTGAATTGCCAATGTCAGTCTGATTTAGACTCTTACAAGTCAAAGTGCAAGGTGGTGTTCATATCAAGAATGATAATATTTTTATCCATTGCACAGTTTGCATATTGCATTTTATAATCTCTAAAAACCTTCTAAATTCATAGCTACAGTTTTTTTCACTATCCCTATATATTGGATCTGGTATTTACTCTCCTCTAGCGTTAATCACGTGACTATTCTCACGCCACCTGCTTTCTAGAACTATCCCGTTCCTTCGGGAGTGCTCTAGCATTTACTAGATTGGGGTTGGCCTGGTATATATATATAAGATGGTCAGGCGTGACGTTACAATGTGTGTGTAGGTATTGAGTAATTGAATTGCAGTCAGAGAGAGACGTATTGTTGAAGTCTAGCTCGCGATACGTGAATTATAGCTTGGTATAGCGCAACTGTTGAAGTTGAGTGTATCGGTAAAGTTATATTCAGAAAGAATAAACCAGTTTTATTAAGTAAGGACTTGTGTCGCTAAAGTTTCGTTGGAACGAAGTTACGGAAAATTAATTAACAAACGGAGACGTAACATGAAATTGATGGTTTTAATCTGTATTTCACAAGAACAACAATGTTTATGAACCTTAAGTAAACAAGAACACAGTGATACTCTAAAACAAGAATCTTTATTAAATGCAAGTAGACAACAACAGTGTTACAATATTCGATGACGAGGAACCCACTTTGAGACTAATAACGCTTGGAGACAGCTTGAATGGGTAATGAAGAAAAACTTTAATATAAGTTTAACATAACAGCATAACCTGATGATGACAAAACCTTATCGAAACGTTGTACATTTGCTGTTATGTTAAACGTATTGTTGCGTCAGCGAAATTGTTAAATATTATGGGATTAGAACATAGGTAATCTAGAATTACAGAACAGTTGTTGTGTATGTTACGTCTCCGTTTGTTAATTAACTTTCCGTAACTTCGTTCCGACGAAACTTTAGCGACACAAGTCCTTACTTAATAAAACTGGTTTATTCTTTCCAAATACAACTTTACGATACACTTATTTTCAACAATCGCTCTATAACAAACGCTATATCAACGAACGTCAACAATACTTCTGACTGCAGTTCAATTACTCACTATCTACACACACATTATTATCCCGTCACGTTGTCACCCTCTTTTATATACCAGACTACCCTATATCTAGCAAATACTAGAGCATCCGCCAAGGTACAGGATAGTTCTAGAAAATAGGTGGCGCCACACCAGTCACGTGACCTCGATGATGCAACATGTACAACGTACACTGACGGATTTGGTTACGATTTGTAGAGCTGACACGAACCAATTCTCTGCCACCATAAATTCCAGAAAAGTGCAAGTGAAACATGTTGAGTTAGAAACAATTAGGGAAGAAAAGCCTCCCACAACGAGTACTGAAGCTCAGTTATTTTACTACTAGTTAGATATTGTAAAAAATAGCTTTTACCTTTATGAATTGCTGTTTTTATTTGTAAGTAAAACAACCGCTATTAGAAAACTTGTGTTTGTCTTCCACCCCACTTTCTTTATTGGCCAATATATTGTTAGTTTCAATTACAAAGGTAAAAAAAGTTCTAGTGTTGGAATTTGCACTAAATTAAGATATGCAAAACAAATAAAAACTAATTTTTTAAAATCTTATTGCCTTAGTTAAATTCTCAGTTATTCTTTCATATATTGCATATACTATTAGGCCATCAATTGTATTTTGATTCAAACAATAAAAAAAATTGCATATAGTTATACCAAACTGAGTCATAATATAATAAAATTATGGGAATTTCACACCAAGTAGTAGTAAATGTAAAAAAAATTACTTGATAAAAACTTTACACACACACACACACACATATATATATA